AAGAAACAAACCCTCATCAGCTTTAGGATCGAATTTACCCAGGTTTTCCTTGTTGTTGTTGTGGATATAGCATCTGCTTCCAAAGATCCTTAGGTGTGACAGATTGGGTTTTCTTCCCTTGTACAATTCATATGGAGTCTTCCCGAGCAATGTTCTGATGTAGGCTCTATTTGAAATATAGCAAGCTGTGCTCATTGCTTCTGCCCAGAATACTTGTGAGACCCTTTCTCATTTAGCATTGCTCTAGCCATCTCCGTGAGTACTCTATTTTTTCGTTCAACTACTCCGTTTTGTTGAGGAGTCCTTGGTGCAGAAAAGTTGTGGTCAATTCCATGTTCCTCACAATAGTCTGCAAATTCGTTGTTTTCAAATTCTCCTCCGTGATCTGACCTGATAGACACAATAGATATACCTTTCTCATTTTGGACCTTTTTGGCAAAAACAATGAAAGCATTAAAAGTTTCATCTTTAGAGGAAAGAAACAAAGTCCAGGTAAACCTTGAATAGTCATCAACTATTACAAGAGTATAAAGATTTCCCCCGAAACTTTTTACTCTAGATGGACCGACCAAGTCCATGTGAATCATTTGGAGAGGTCTTTCAGTTGAAACTATCTTCTTTGATTTAAATGAAGATTTTGTTTGTTTACCTTTTTGACAAGCATCACAAACATCATCGCGTTCATACTGGATTTTTGGTAAACCAACAACTAGATCCCTTTTTATTAATTTTGAAAGTTGATTCATGTTGACATGTGCAAGACGCTTGTGCCAAATCCAACTTTCCTCCTTTTTACTAATAAAACAATTTTCAGAAGCTTTAGAATCAAATTGAAGTGTATAACAGTTACCGTCCCTCGGAGCTCTCAGCTTCGTATTCAATTCTTCTTTCTTCAAGGGTAGGTCATCTTTGCTTATGATTAAACACTCTTCAGAATCAAAGATTACCCAGTTGTTTTTGTCCGCACTCTGACTGACGCTGAGGAGATTATGACACAGACCTTCCACGTAGTACACGTCCTCGACCTTCATGCCTATATTACTTCCGATTTCTCCGATTCCAGCAATTTTTCCCGATTGGTTTCCTCCGAAGCTTACTTTTCCTCCATCTTTTGGTTTGAGTGATGTAAACTTCTCAGTGTCACCTGTCATGTGTCTGGAACATCCGCTGTCTATATACCATTTATTTGTTCTGGATGCCTTGAGACATACCTGCAAAAATTACAATCATGTTTTAGGTACCCATACCTTCTTGGGTCCTTTCTGGTTAGTATGAGTTATTTTTGGTGCATAAGTACCTTTGGGCACCCATTTTAATGTTCCGTAATCTCCTTTCTTCTTATAGTAACAAGAAGAAGTTGAATGGCCTTTACGGTTGCAATGAGAACAAAGTGCAAAAGGATTTGAGGAATGCACAGAATTTCTAAAATATGTAAGATATGATCTACCACTACTCTTTTTCTTTTCTTTCGATTTATCTTGGGTTGGATCGTATCCTATACCAGTCTTGTCCATAGAGCATCGTTGAGCTCCTAGAATCACCTTAAGCATTTCGCTTCCTTTAGTGAATTTTTCTAAAGTTCTGGTTAGATCTTCAATCTTTCTTTCATTCTTTTCACAACTTTCACAAGTCAAGGTCGAGTCAGTATTGACTTTAACCTTTGATTGTTGATCTTCTAAAAACTTTATCCTTCTCTTAGAATTAACTAACTCTTTTGCAATTCTTACTAATTCTAAGTGTAAAGCATTGTATTCAGACTGCAATTCATCATAAGATGGTTCAGAAATTATTACCTCGTCTGTTTCTGAGTCCTCGTTTTCTTGGGCCACTAGACAGATATTAGCTGTCTCTTCATCGTCACTTTCTTCTTCTTCATCGGAGGAGCTGTCTCCCCAGATTGATGTGACGAAGGCTTTCTTCTTTCTGAATCTTTCTTTCTTCTTTTCTTTATCCTTTGCTCTGGAGAGTTGGGGACATTCCGCCTTGATATGTCCTGGCTTTTTACACTCGAAGCAAATGATTGGATCCTTTGATTCGTTCGGATACGAGGAAATTTTGCGTTTCGGCTGAAACTTCTTTCCGGTTCTGTTTTTGTAGAATTTCTTGAACCTTTTGACTATAAGGCCCATTTCATCATCATCAAGATCATCTTCATTTTCATCCTCGCTCACTTGAGTTTTAAGAGCGATGCCTTTCCGATTTTTCTCGTTCATCTCCTTTTTGTATTTTTGCTTGCTCTCATACTCAGCAAGACTCCCGAATAGTGCTGCAACCGAACCAATGGATTCTCCTTTGGTTTCTTCAATAGCTGTTACTTTCGGTTCCCATTCTTTTGTGAGACCGCTCAGAATTTTCCTCACTTGATCTTCTTGACTATATTTCTTCCCAAGTGCAGTGAGGTGATTTATGAGATGTGAGAATCTGACTTCCATATCTCGGATACTCTCTCCTTCCTTCATTCTGAATAATTCGAATTCGGTAGTGAGAGTGTTGATTCGACTCTGTTTTACACCGGTGGTTCCTTCATGAGCTATCTCCAGAGCCTCCCACATTTCCTTCGCGGTTTCCAGGCTTGAGACTCTGAAGTATTCCCTTTGACTAAGCGCACACGTGAGTATGTTGATCGCTTTGTCATTTAGGGTCACCAGCTTCTTATCTTCCTCGTTGAATTCCGTGGAACTCTTGGGTACTTGCTGGCCATCTACTGTGTTCATCGGACATAGTTGCCGTGTTCTATTACGTCCCACAACCCATACTCTGTGGCTTTAATGAAGATTTTCATCCTCATTTTCCAGAACGTATAATTTTCTCCACTGAAGCCTGGCGGTTTAGATGTTGAACATCCTTCCGGTAACACGCTATCTCCAAATCCTGCCATTTGATCTCTCTTCGGACTGTTAAATCCTTAGTGAAGAGACCTGCTCTGATACCAAATGTTAGAAACAATCTCACCCAAGAGGGGGGTGAATTGGGTGAGTTACAAAAATTTAAGAATTAAAGCGTGCAAGTATTGAATGAAACAGAGAGTCAGAGTAAGGAGAAATTTAACCGCAGAGAAGGGACACAAGATTTATACTGGTTCGGTCTCAACCACGTGACCTACTTCCAGTCCCCAGAACACCTCTGAGTATTTCACTATCTTCCAAGATCGACAGGGCTCTTGGTGCCTCGGTACAGTAATTGAATCGCTCAATCACTCCCCCTTACTCCCGTAAGGATACAACCCCTCTCAAGAGTCCACACTCTTGAGTGTCTCTCAAGTTTTTAATGAAAGTAGTGAATGGCTCTCTTACAGAGTGAATTCAATGATAAACACTGATGCTCAGTAGTGAAGTGAAAAACAGAGTATTGAATGCGTAACTAAATAATAGCAGATGGTAGCTCCGGTATTCAATTCTCTTCATTAATGCCTCTTCGCGCCTTTTATAGTTGATATCGTTAAATAGCCGTTAGACGGAAGGCTTCTAGCCGTTGTGACTTCGTTTGCGTGTTTCACTGGTTTTAACAGCTCCGCCATTAATGCGTCTGAGTTTCTGACACTGTAGGTCGCAGTCTACGTAATCCCATTGAAGAGCCGTTGCACTCGTTTTCATTAATCTGCATATTTCAAACTTAGAACAAGTGAGAATTTTGTGGTGAGTGCTTTAACCTTGAATACAGAAGGAGGGCTAATTTATCATTCAAGATTTGTGACGAGATCATTTATCAGTAACAAGAACAGAGTGTCATTCCGGTTTGGTTTGATCGAAAAGATGATCGATTACTTGATGATAGATCAAGTTATCGATAAACGGAATGAAGACTTTTCGAAATAGATCACTAAAGTTATCGATCAAGTGTTGGATCATCGGCTCCAAGAATTTTCATAGAAAGAGGAAATCATTGCATGATCGAACAAGTGATCGATCACATAATTGACCGAACAGATTATCGATAATTTAGATGTTATTAAAATGAAGCTTCAGTCATTGATGATCGAACATCTTATCGATAAATATATGATAGATAATATTATCGATAAAACATGGTTATGTAAATAATCAAAGGAAGACACATGCTATTTGAAATGATCGAACAGCTGATCGATCATTAACTATTCGAACAAGTGATCGATAATAGTGAAGAAAGAAGTTTGATCCTGTAAGGTAAGGAAAATGATTATCGATCACGTTTTGTGAAAACATGAAGTTCGGGGAAATGAATGATCGATCATTTTATCGAAAATCCAGTGATCGATAACTTGATCGAAAATTAGTTCATCATAACTTAATGCTAATATGTCAATTCTCAGACTCTTTATCGAACACGTTATGTGAAAAACTTATTTAAGCAAACAAGTTAAAATTATCGATAATGTTATCGATAATTTAGCTGTAGCAAAACTGAGTAAGAGTTAAAAAGAACATTGATTATCGATCATGTAATCGATAATTTTGTGATCAATAAAATTATCGATCTATCAGTGAATTTGATCTCCTGCATTCAGAGAGTTAGAGCATAAAGTTCGAGTACGTAATCGATAAACAAATGATCGAAAATATGATCGATAAATTTGTAACTGAACTAATGTGCAGAACAAGTAGAGAGTGTTACCTTTTATCGAAGTCGTTATTGATGACTGATTTATCGATAACTTGATCGATAAATGCACTCGGTTTCTTATCAGTAACTCGATTGCTTACCTGATATTATCGATCAGCTTATCGATAATTTTCATACTCTTATGTGATTTTTACACTAGCGATTATCGATCCCTTTATCGATAAACTATTCATCGAATAGTTCTTCGATCAAAAAGACTACTATAGACCTGATTTACACTTGATCATTTATCTGAAATCTTAGCGATAACTGATTGTTCGATTAGTTGATCGATCAAAATACTTAACCCTGATATTCTGACTTGTTATCATCAAAACTATAATCCTAACAAGTAGTGGTAGTAGTAGTGGTGGTGGTGGTGGTAGTAATAGTCATAGTGGTAGTGGTGGTGGTGGTAGTGTGATGGCGGTGGTGGTAGTGGTCATAGTAGTAGTAGTAGTAGTAATAATAGTGGTAGTAATCGTGGTAGCGGTAGTGGCCGTAGTAGTAGTAATAGTAGTCGTAATAATGGTAGTGGTAGTGGTAGCAGCAGCAGCAGGGGTCGTAGCAGTAATAGGGGTAGTAGTAGTAGTAGGAGTGGTAGTAGTGGTAGTGGTGGTGGTAGTAGTGGTAGTGGTGGTGGTAGTGGTCGTGGTGGTGGTGGTGGTAGTGATGGTGGTAGTGGTGGTAGTGGTGGTCATAGTAATAGTAGTGGTAGTAGTCGTAGTGGTGGTGGTAGTAGTAGTAGTAAGCATCGTGAACACCCAATTTTTTCTAGGCCCATAAGAAATATTAAATATAAATGAAACAAATAAAAAAGAAATAAAAGAGTAATAAAAGATTACTAACGTCCTTAATTCTTTATTGGAAGCTAAGTTTAAGAAATCCACCATATGACAAATCAAAAAAAGGAAAATTAAAGAAGAATATCCCTCTTACAATAAATGACAATAAAATAAAAGATAAGAGTTAAAAGCCAATTGACCTCCAAATTAGAAAATACAGGTTGGAGTCTTTAAAAAAAATTGAAACATCAAAATCAAAATTCCTCATTTAAGATGATTGACTCTTCAATTTAGAAATATCTTTTGAAGTCATAATTATAAAAATTTTAAAAAATGAAAATGAAAATAAAAAATCACAATTTGATGATAATTTGATGCTTAAATAGAAAGTTATATAATGAACCATAATTGAGAAAAATTAAAAAAAAACAACATTTAAATAAAAATTACAAAACCCTAGATGAAGACTATAAATAGGAGAGTAAGACTTGGAGGAAGGCACTCAGAATTTTTAGTGAAAAAGGAGGCAAGCTAATTGATAAGTAGAGCATCCGGTCTGGACTTCCATTCTTATCTACTGTGTTTAACTTGAATTTCACGATAAAGTATTTTTGGATATTCTTTCTTTTTACTTTTGAAAGCACTTCTTTTTTTAAAATATGTACCATGTGAGGTTTTTAGAATCTCCACCGGTATCTAGATTTATTGGTAACTGTATGAGACTATGGGAATCTTCACAGGAATACCAATATCATTGTGGAAGTTTTCTATTTGAAATAAAAGGAGAGAAAATAATTTTGGTCCCATATTTATAAAGAATAATAAAATAAAAAGTCTTTTTTTCAATATGTATATATATATTCTCAAAATGTTTTTCAGAGCTGTGTGAGGTTTTTAGAACCTCCATAGGCTCGAATGATTATTCTTCCATGTGAGGTTATGAGAACCTCTGTTGGGAGGGTAATTGAAAATTTCTTTTAAAAAAAATTTCTAATTGAAAATACAAAAATTATTTTCCTATATTAAAAAATACCAACCCACAAAAAATATTTTTTAATCGAATAAATATTTTCTAAAAAGTACTGACCAAGTGACACGTATTTTTACTCTTGAACTACGTGGGCTTTGATCCCTCTAAAGGGTATGCAGGACCTAAGTTTTTATTCTAGGTCAAGTCCATTTTTTTTAAAGAATTTTTTTTTTGTAATTAAAAAGTTTTCCTTACTTCTATCTTTATTCTTTTAGGGTAATTAAAACATGATAAAAAGGCCATATTAATTTTGAGTAGTTGATTTAAAATTACCGTTCTCTTGAACAAGTGTTGTGCGGTGCCTAACACCTTCCCCACATAGAATCGACTCTCAAACCCTATCCAATTTTCATAAACCATATTATTTTATGTTTATAAAATTAGCCTTTTAAAATTTTGGTCGAAACTACTCTTTCTTTCCTTTTTATGGGATGACTAGGATTCGAGCGCGATAAGCATTTTAATAATCAATGTTAAAATGGAACATACGAATGTTTCCAAGATAATGTTCGATGCGGTAAAAGGGAAGAATTTTATTTAAAACAATTACAAAACATACTTGATTCTAATTTGGCAAGCTATTCTCATGATTGGTTAAAACCAAATAGAGCAATTTTTGGTCGCCAAAGAAACCAAGTTGAAGATCTTGATTGCCCTTTATTTTGGTTTCACTTACAATCAAAACCTAATCTACCTGACTTGGTTATAATCAACCATATGAAATGTAGCTTTCAAATCTAAAATCAAGTGTATTATGTTTATTTTTTAAAATAAGATTCTTCCCCGTTACCACCCTAACCAATAGGTTAGGGACATCTACAAGTTTTAGTTTAACCCCACAAGGATCTAAATACCTAAGCTTAGTGAATCTAGTGCAAAACCCTAGGGTAGTGACATTTCAACCTTAGCTATGCTTGCAAAAGGAATTGGACGTCTACTACAAGCATATATCCTAGTTAAATTTCAATTGACATATGTCCAACAGTCAAAAAAATCAGCCAACACCTCTTAAGTTAGGGAGAGACCAACCAAATAAAAAAACTTGAAAAAAATAGAAGATAATAATAATCTAGCTAGCTATTTCTAGTTCAGAAACAGCAATAAACATAGAACAAAGATGTTAGCAATAAATAGCAAACCCTGTTGAACTACAAGTTATTTTCAATTCATAAAACCATGCTCCTAACCACTTTAAGCAAGTTAACATTTGCTTCATTAGAATAGGCTAGCAATAAACACACAAACAACAATGATAAGGCTTAAGGCTCAAGCTTTACAAATGAATGAATGAGTTACCTAAGTCAAGGGCGTGTAAAACGTGTTTAACAGAAAAAGTATGGCTTAAATCCCTCAAGTCGATGGCGATGATAAAGATCTCGTATAGAAAAAATATTGGTATTAGGCTCATCGTAAGTAGCTCAAATGAAGAGCAAACTATTGACATTAGATAAACCTAGCAACTAGTGTATATATTAAATTTTACTTAACATATCAGCGATGACAATGACCAATGTAAAAAATTACTTTTGTAGATCAAAGTTGCCTATAACTAGTGTAAATGATAAAGTAGCGATACCCAAAAAACTTAAATCTCATTCATCATCTTTAAACTAATATACATTGTTCCAATTGTAGGGTTCGATATCTATTAGCATACAAATAAAAGAAAAAAGCACAAAAATAAAAGCCATTGGAAATACAAATTTTTTTCAATTCATGATAGGGTTGCCTAGGGGGCCATTACAAAATATTTAGAAAAGAAGTTTGAATATTATATGTCTTGTTGGAGTTTTAGTGTGTGAGTATGTTAAAAGAAGCCTCGTATTACTCAAGATTGAGAAAATCTTAGTGTTTACTAAGATGTGAGCTCAAGCTAATAAAAAATGACTAAGAAGAGGAATCTTTAGAACTGACCATTAGAGATGACTATTGAAGCATTTATATGTCTTAATTAGTCAGTTTTATTCTTTCATAAACCATATTCAATGGTGTTAAAATGTTTTAATTCACCTTAATTAATTGTTCAAAAACTGCCCTTTTAATAATCATTAAAACCTTCTTTAATCACTATTATGGCAGCACAACAATCACATATTATCTATTTATAAAAGGCAATGTGTAGTGCATGGTCAATCAGGATTGAGTTCTATCCCTAAGCTCTCCTCCTTACTCTTTTCTCCTAAGTTTTAAATTTCTGTTATTTTGTCACCTTACTCTATACAAGAAGGGTTCATTTAATCCTGGGGAGTGCCATCTTTCATTCTAATATGTGTGATGGAATAACTTTTAAGGACAATATCTTTGAATACAATTCGAACTATGTTTTTTTTTTAATTTTTGCAGGTGTTGCCAATATATATTATACACAAAAATCTCCTCTGTATATATTCCTCATTAACTAAAGGAGTATCAGAGGTAGTTGAAGAGTCGTCTATCACATCATACTTAATGTCTCTATCATCCAGTATTACGTTGACTTTGTCATTGATGGCATAGGATTTGGCAATGTGATGGTAGAGGCATTGCTCAATAGTTACTACTCTGGTGACTAACTAGCCGAACGGTAGAGGCAACATAGGGAGAGGCAGGGAGATAGGCTCCTCTGTTCAGTGTCTTGGTGTTTAAATAGTTATTTGTCATAACCAATGTACATAACTAACATTTACATCAGTTTCCAAAACATCCATTGCAAAATAATAAAAGATACCCAACAAGATTTGTGCACAATCAATGTAAACATTCTATCATTATTTATAAAAATATCATCACCTCATTTATTACACTGTTGACTCAAGGGCCGGTGTAAATAAAGTGCTGTAAAAAGGAGTTTTTCTAGTAGTAAGAGATTGTTATAAGGTTACACTGGTCAATTTCCTCTCCAGTACATTTTTGTTAGAGCCCAATCGATTGTTTCTTTTCACTACCTATTGTTTTCTATCAACAAATTTGTCTTTTTATCGGAAAATTCATCATCCCAACAATAATTGGAGAGGTGATAAGAAATAACAAAATGACTCTTCAACTTCAAATGATTCTTCCGAAAATGTAAGTAGAACAATCACAAGAGCAATAGTCCCTCTATTCTCGGTGAATAGTGATTTTTTTGGGGTGCTTAATAGGATTATCGTGTTTTTCTCCGTTCTTTTTGGCCTTTATTCTGGTCCTTTGCGTTTGTTTTTTTATGATTTCGGTGTTGCAGGTATCTTCTCTAATGGGTATTGTGAAACAACCGTAATTTCATCCGATTTAATACGCATTCGAAAATATGGTTCAAGTGAATCATAAATTAAGCCCATGGATTGGAAACTTATTTTTATTCTCAAGTTATTATTTATTAGATAAATTTTTTTTATCCAACTTAGAAAATTTATAACTAACTATAAAAAAATCGTATTGAAAAGATTTAATTCTCTATTTAAAGCTCTTTCCATTACATACCAAAGAAAAATATTCATTGGTTCAGTTACTTGCTCATTTAATATAGAAAATTGCATGAACTAATATTGTTTATATGGTCAAAACAATACTTCACAGTTTTTCTGCTCTAACTTTAAGCAATCATAATTTCTAGCACATAAATCCATTTTAGGTGATCTACTACTCATTTTGAACCTTAGAATATGTTCTAATTACTCATAAATTTCAGGGGCAGAATCATTCCTTTGCATACTTCTTCTTCGTCTCAAATTCATTGCCTATTAGCGGAGTGTTTATCCCTTGTATTTGAGATTAATAATTCCTAATCATTTCTTCGCATGCATGCAACCATTTGAACATTTCATAAATAATTCTCATACATCATCATACTCAATCTTGCATGCCATTTTCATCATTCATCATTACATAACATTAATTTTCATGTCTAATCATACATCAAAATAAAGGGAAGTCATTACATAACATAATATAAGAACATTTCTTCAATTCTTCCTTTTATTCTCTTGATCCACATCTTGCTTTCTTCTTCCATACTCAACAAACCTATTATGGT